CACCACAATGTCTGACTGAACACCTATCAGCTGTTTGTCAGTCTGGACCTCAAAGTCCCACAGTATTATATTTTCTTTGTGTGTACAAGTTAAACTGGTTGAGACACATTTTTCTCATTTGCAAGAAAATATCTTAGCCTTGTCATCCTCCACCACTCCTTCAATTCAATTCAATTCAATTCAAAAATACTTTATTAATCCCAGAGGGAAATTATTTGTTGTTGTAACTCGTTATCCTCATTTCATTAAGAGATATTATAGATGCTGATGGCTGTAGGCAGGAAGGATCTCTTGTAAAGGTCCATCCCACAGTGGATCCTAAGAAACTGGCTGCAGATGCCGTCCGATCCATCCACCCAGACTCAGCTGGCCTCTTAGTTCCCTTGGGCTGTAGGACCGCCCCAATGCCAGGCAGAACTCCTCCCAGAGCGATGGCCACTCCTTCCAGTAGTTTGCTGAGCTCCTCGTCACTGCGGACAGCCAACTGTAGGTGCTGAGGGACGATCCTGTCCTTCTGCTGTCATGAGCCGTGTTTCCTGCTAGTTCCAGGATCTCAGTGGTCAGACACTCCAACACAGCTGGCAGGTAGATGAGAATGCATCCACAGAACATTCTTTTCAACTCATTTGAGATTTGGTGCTGTAGTTGAGATATTATTTGAGCTTTTGAGATGTTAATCAGCTGCTGTTGGTTGTAGAAAACTGCCTTGTTGCCATGGTGACGCATCATAACAAAAGTCCAAAACTAAAAGAGTTGCAGTAAAAATCCTTCCAGCTGCACAGCATCTGATACCAGAGGAAACAATCATCCAAAAAATGTGATTTACATCCAGAAAAACAGGAAGTTAAGTTTCCAAAAGCAAAATCTCAGAATGAAAGTAACAGAGCTGCTCCAACATCATTGATTTTATATGAGGCTGTAATAATCTCTTCTCAAGTACATTGTGTACAAATATATGCATGCATGTCCAAAAAGGCAACTTGAGGTAAGTTTTATTAATGTTGGATAAGTTTTAAAGTTAGAATTAAATTCTGCTAACACAAAACGTTTCTTTTTTTTTCCCTAGCTTTAAAGTGGATATTAAAGTGATTAATTTAAGTGATTGTTTAAAGTTATTTTATATTTTTTTTAAATAAGGGGCAGATATAAGATTTTTCTTGCTTCTGCACTCTTTTCATTCAATTTTTCCTTTTTATGAATTTGTTTTGTTTCTTTTAATAAATATTTGTTTTAAAATAAATGAATAAACGAATAAAATAAAATGTTAAATGGCTTTAAACATCTGCTAGTTCATGGCATAATCCAATAGACATGTTCCTGTTTTTAGTTATTTACATCACTTTATAATGTAGCTGTTTTTGTTTTGTTTATATATAT